GGGAACAGATGGAGGTAAACGAAGTGTAACAATACATCTTCTCTTTTTGTTTTTTTGCAAATCAGTCATGTCTTACTCCCTCAATCCTTAGGCAGACAGAAAGGACGTGTCCACCAGGTTCGTAAATTACCTCCACATTAATGTGACGCATGCACGGGGTACATGAGGTAAAGATATCTGAAAGGTGGACAAGAGGAAAGAGGAAATCCTGCACATTTAAGAGAAAGAAAGAGATGGAGGTAAACACGGAGGGAAAGACAACGGCTAAAGTGTGACATTAACTGAGAGAGAGAGAGAGATGGGAGAGAGAGAGAGAGAGAGAGAGAGAGAGAGAGAGAGAGAGAGAGAGAGAGAGAGAGAGAGAGAGAGAGGCTTTGAAAATGGAATATGACTCCTTTAATCTGTCGCTCTCTCTCCTTTGCCTCGGGCGAGCCTCCAGCACTCATTCTCTCTCTTTCTCTCTCTCTTTCTCTCTCTTCCTCTCCTTTCCTTCATTAGTGGGCGATCAGAGAGCGGCTGATTTAATGGAGGAGTAAGAGGAGAGGGTAAAACACATAAAAACCTCACCTGTAAGACAGAGGGAGGAGAGAGGAGGATAAACAGACGGGTAGAAAAGGAATAAGTCAGTTTTTCTGAAGAGGCCCTATTATGCTATTTGGGGGTTTTCCCTTTGCTGTAGTGAACATCAGCAGGAGAGGACTCTTTAAAGTAGAGACACTACATACTGATATACACCTGAACATCAGCAGGAGAGGACTCTTTAAAGTAGAGACACTACATACTGATACACCTGAACACCAGCAGGAGAGGACTCTTTAAAGTACAGACACTACATACTGATATACACCTGAACACCAGCAGGAGAGGACTCTTTAAAGTAGAGACACTACATACTGATACACCTGAACACCAGCAGGAGAGGACTCTTTAAAGTACAGACACTACATACTGATATACACCTGAACACCAGCAGGAGAGGACTCTTTAAAGTAGAGACACTACATACTGATATACACCTGAACACCAGCAGGAGAGGACTCTTTAAAGTACAGACACTACATACTGATATACACCTGAACACCTGCAGGAGAGGACTCTTTAAAGTAGAGATACTACATACTGATATACACCTGAACACCAGCAGGAGAGGACTCTTTAAAGTAGAGACACTACATACTGATATACACCTGAACATCAGCAGGAGAGGACTCTTTAAAGTAGAGACACTACATACTGATATACACCTGAACATCAGCAGGAGAGGACTCTTTAAAGTAGAGACACTACATACTGATATACACCTGAACACCAGCAGGAGAGGACTCTTTAAGTAGAGACACTACATACTGATATACACCTGAACACCAGCAGGAGAGGACTCTTTAAAGTAGAGACACTACATACTGATACACCTGAACACCAGCAGGAGAGGACTCTTTAAAGTACAGACACTACATACTGATATACACCTGAACACCAGCAGGAGAGGACTCTTTAAAGTAGAGACACTACATACTGATATACACCTGAACACCAGCAGGAGAGACTCTTTAAAGTACAGACACTACATACTGATATACACCTGAACACCTGCAGGAGAGGACTCTTTAAAGTAGAGACACTACATACTGATATACACCTGAACACCAGCAGAGAGGACTCTTTAAAGTAGAGACACTACATACTGATATCACCTGAACATCAGCAGGAGAGGACTCTTTAAAGTAGAGACACTACATACTGATATACACTGAACACCAGCAGGAGAGGACTCTTTAAAGTAGAGACACTACATACTGATATACACCTGAACATCAGCAGGAAGGACTCTTTAAAGTAGAGACACTACATACTGATATACACCTGAACATCAGCAGGAGAGGACTCTTTAAAGTAGAGACACTACATACTGATATACACCTGAACACCAGCAGGAGAGGACTCTTTAAAGTAGACACTACATACTGATATACACCTGAACATCAGCAGGAGAGGACTCTTTAAAGTAGAGACACTACATACTGATATACACCTGAACATCAGCAGGAGAGGACTCTTTAAAGTAGAGACACTACATACTGATATCACCTGAACATCAGCAGGAGAGGACTCTTTAAAGTAGAGACACTACATACTGATATACACCTGAACATCAGCAGGAGAGGACTCTTTAAAGTAGAGACACTACATACTGATATACACCTGAACATCAGCAGGAGAGGACTCTTTAAAGTAGTTTTTTTCTTTGCATTTAGCTTTAATTGGTCAGTTTGTCATGTTACTTGATGTGGAAACATGATTGCAAGTTGGAGAGAGAAGTGTCCGTGTGAAAACATGCGTAGCTAAGTGCCATCAAGAGGTATTTTGATGTCATGGCTGAGTATTAGGATGATTTCCAATGCCAAAAGGTCAATGTCTTTATTGATTTATGTGGCATTATGTTTAATGATTAGTTATTACAATTATCTTTAAGTCCGTGTCAGCTGTATGTGAGACAGTGTGTGTGTACTACAGACAGTAAAGTGTGCAGTCTGCTGGGGTTATAACACCATGTATGTCTGTGTGTAAATGTGTGTGTGTGTCTCCTCTACCATTGGACATACACTGATACACTGAGCTGCTCTCTGAGGACCTGCAGTCATCTAAACAGGCAGCTGTGTGTGTGTGTGTGTGTGTGTGTGTGTGTGTGTGTGTGTGTGTGTTTGTGTGTGGTGTGTGTGTGTGGTGTGTGTGTGTGTGTGTGTGTGTTTGTGTGTGGTGTGTGTGTGTGTGTGTGTGTTTGTGTGTGTGTGTGTGTGAGCGCATTCATTGTGTCGTTATTTACTCTGCCGTACAAACAAAGCAAGGTCACATTCAAGGTGACGTGATCTCACCATCTCTGCCTTAACATGCAACAAGTTATTTTCCCCTCCATCTCTCCCCCTTTCTCCCCCTTTCCTCCCCCCTCTCTCAATGAATAGGCAAATAGAGAACGAATAAGCGCCGGCCGCCCGACCAAAGTCAATTACAGCCGCCCTGGGGATGTCGTCTTAAACAATGCTATTACTTTCTAATAGTTTTTAATTACGGGCCTTCTTTTTATATAAATCACCCCCTCACTTTCTCTCTCTTTCTCCTCTGTCGTGCAAAAACCTATTTGTGTCTGTAATTAAATGGAGGAGAGGGATATGAATTTAGTCGCTTACCTCGCTTCTGGTCTCTGACTGTTTCTGTTTGAGCGGCGCCTGATTA